ACTTACTTGATCCATCTTTTGTTTTTTTAAAGAAAAAGGCACGTTAAAATGTATCAAATATTATCAATTTTTCAGTTATCATTGTATTGTATTGCATTATATGTTTTGCCCCCACAATAAAAACTAGAGCTTTGATCATAAAACTAAGCATGTAAATATACTAAGATATATTATTGGTATTTATATATAACTGATATTATGCATTTTATGTAAGTAGTCTGTTATACAAATATCATTGATTTACATTATAAGCTATCATCATTTATGGTGTTTTTTCCCCGCCAATTTTTTTTTTAATTAACTATACATATTTTGTCCAATTTGGACGAATTACATACTACAAGAAATCGAACATATTTGTTATAAAATATTTAAATAATGTAAGTTCTGAAAATGTATACTTCATAAAGATTATCGCCATTTAACGTCATTTTTGTGAGATAAAATATTTGTACGAGTTATTTATTATTTATTTATTTTTTTAATAAAATGACCTTCGTAGCATGGCGTTGGCATTTCAGAGGCGAGTGTTGTGAGCGCGCAGCGTAGCCGTTACGTCACTGAAGTCCTCCAGCTCTGGGAAGATGCTGGTGTGTGTCTGCAAATAATAAAATCATAAAGCAATACAAAGAAAAATAGGCCGCTTCCTCTCTAACAGACATCTATTGGACAGACGGTCGTTACATTTCGGATGAAACAGACCAGCCATACAAGGTAAAAAAAGATTTTTAAAAAGAAAAAAAACCCTATTGTGGTTTATAATAGGCTAAAATAGTGATGCTCGTAGATGATACGTTTATTCAATATCTACATATATTGATATTCAAATAGCACCTCTTATTTACTGTCGCATTTGCTGGACAGCTATACTAGAAGCAGCTTTTTTATAAAAAAATTTTAATTAACTATACATATTTTGTCCAATTTGGACGAATTACATACTACAAGAAATCGAACATATTTGTTATAAAATATTTAAATAATGTAAGTTCTGAAAATGTATACTTCATAAAGATTATCGCCATTTAACGTCATTTTTGTGAGATAAAATATTTGTACGAGTTAGTTATTTTATTTATTTTTTTAATAAAATGACCTTCGTAGCATGGCGTTGGCATTTCAGAGGCGAGTGTTGTGAGCGCGCAGCGTAGCCGTTACGTCACTGAAGTCCTCCAGCTCTGGGAAGATGCTGGTGTGTGTCTGCAAATAATTAAATCATAAAGCAATACAAAGAAAAATAGGCCGCTTCCTCTCTAACAGACATCTATTGGACAGACGGTCGTTACATATCGGATGAAACAGACCAGCCATACAAGGTAAAAAAAGATTTTTAAAAAGAAAAAAAACCCTATTGTGGTTTATAATAGGCTAAAATAGTGATGCTCGTAGATGATACGTTTATTCAATATCTACATATATTGATATTCAAATAGCACCTCTTATTTACTGTCGCATTTGCTGGACAGCTATTACTAACAAAAGAGGAGGCAAATGTGTTAAGCCATGCAATGGTGGAGAGGAAGGACATTGAGGGAGGATGCTCAGGATTGTGGCTGAGCGATTGCAGGGCTGAATTTGACGGAACATTAGGTTCATATATCCGTAATCTAAATTGTACTGATATAAGAATTGTAGTCTATGATTTTGCGCATTTGCAAGTCTTATTGACGTGGTGTGTGGGAAATGCCGACGCTTCTGGTTGGTTTGTCAGCGCTGTGAACAGCCTTCACCTAAATACAACAGCATTATTAATATCTGTTGTTTTAGAATATAAATCATCAGCTGAGTATCCCATAATAATGCTAGATTTGATGTTTGATAACCTTGGAGTGTGAGCCTACAATATAATCCCACACCTGGTCTTCGATTCACTCATTCGGTGTGTAAATGGGAGAAGCTTTATTACATTATCTAGTTTGTGAATTATTTTTGTAGGCCTATATGAGAGTAACGGTCTATAACACGAACTGGATTTCTATTGAGATATGTATACTAATATTATGAACAATAGTAATAGTAGACCTGGTGTGGAGGAAAAAAGCTTAACATTCCTGACTGAACATATAGCTTTTTTAATCTCTGCTGTTTGATGAAACCTACCTGTGTCAAATATTTACTTTATTTGCTGTCTGGAATTGGTTTTGAGGTTTTTTTGTATGTTTTAAGGGCATTTTTAAGCATGGCAAGTCTCAATATGAACAATTATATCGGTAAGTATACCTACTAAATCAAATTAGCATTACATACAAATGTAGCTGTAAATGATGCACAAGATATCATAACACAATTAACGCTATATTTGAGTATACAGTTCTCTACAGTCTACCATCCTGGTAGATTTGGACGCATTCCTAGTCTTTTGTAGAGCTGAATTTAGTGTTTTTAATCAAAAACACTTCAAAACTCACATCTGAGACAGAGAATAGCTACAGATATCTGCCAGCTACAGGTCATTTTGGTTTTTGTATAGCTACTAAACCCATCCCTAGATTGGCCCAGAATAAATATATATATGGAAATATATCAAACATCAGATATAATAAATTATATCTAAAATAACTGAATAATACCTCAAAATTTAAATGGCTGGTGCATTTTTGCCTCAAAATGGTGTAGATTCTCTTGTCATTTCTTATGTGATTATAGTATTATTTTGTGTGTTTTGTTTTTTTATATCATTTTACAGGCCACCATAGTTGCTCCATTTGACAGAAAGAGACAGAAGACCGGTCTTTGCTTGACTGATCACATTCCTTATACTTGAAATGAAAATGACCCGGCCTGTTTATTAGCACATTCCTTCACAATACATTTTCGGTGGGTTCCCTTGCTTGCACTCTAAGCCTGCCAATATGTACGGAAGTTCACGCTCTGTGAGCAAAATGGACAGTAATCACAGTGGGGGAAGAAACAACCAGGGCAACTCTGGACGCGCGCCACGACTGCCTCGGTCACCCCGTATGACCCACCGTCGCACCAACAGCATGGGGGGAAGCGGCGGAGGCCCAGGCGGCTCTGGAGGCAAGACGCTGTCCATGGAGAACATTCAATCTCTTAATGCAGCCTACGCCACATCGGGGCCGATGTACATGAGCGACAACGAGGTCACATTCGGCACCTCCTCTGACCTCCCTAAAAGCGGCGTAGTGACGGGACGCTTTGGAGGCAGCATTCCTTACGGGGTCCGAGGAACCGTTACAGGCAGCACGCCGGACATGGCCATGGTGCCTGCGGTGTCCACCGACTCTATGGGGTTTGGAGGGGAGATCCACGCGGCATCAACCGTCCCTCACTCGCTACGTCAGGCGAGGGACAACACCATCATGGAGCTCCAAGCCCAGCTTAAGGAGGTGCTGAGGGAGAATGAGCTCCTTCAGAAGGAGATCGAGGTGAAGGAGAGCAAGCTCAGCTCCTCCATGAGCTCCATCAAAAGCTTCTGGAGCCCGGAGCTGAAGAA